AAAAAAAATGTAATAAAAAATTAAAAATAATAAAAAAATAAAAAAAAATATATATTTTTTTTTTTCATACTGTCACCAGTCAGTGCCCCTGTTCACCGCCATGCCAGTTATAGGATGACTCTGTACTGCACTAGTGACAGTATGTAAAAAAAAAAAAAAAAAGTGAAAATAACTTTTTTAATTTTTTCATTTTCCGAAAAATTATGACAAAAAAAAATTCAACTTCAAAAAAACTCGCCATTCCTCTTATGAAGTACGTCGGACTGTCTACTCTGCAAAAAGTGGTCATTTGGGGATATCTGTACTGTCCTGACATTTGGGGGATATCTGTACTGTCCTGACATTTGGGGGATATCTGTACTGTCCTGACATTTGGGGGATATCTGTACTGTCCTGACATTTGGGGGATATCTGTACTGTCCTGACATTCTTGGACCTCAAGAAATTAGATTGGCCGTCAGTACTTCAGGATTGATCAATATTCAGATCTATACCATAGTTTGTGAACTCTATAACTTTCCTACAAACTAAAAAATACATCCTAATTTGGGTTATTATCACCAAAGACATGTAGCAGAATACATCTCGGCCTAAATTTATGAAGAACAATTATTTGTAAACTTTTATAACAGAAACAAAGAAAAACGTGTTTTTTTTGTTAATTTAGCAAAAAATAAAAACCCCAGCAGTGATTAAATACCACCAAAAGAAAGCTCTAGTTGTGTGAAGAAAATGATAAAATTTTAGTTTGGGTACAGTGTTGTATGACCGCGCAATTGTCATTCAAAGTGTGAGAGCGCTGAAACATGAAAAATGGCCTGGGCAGGAAGGGGGAAAATTGCGCGGTATTGAAATGATTAAAGCAATCTACTGAGCTGGCCAGAACCAACTCTGGAGGGAGTCTATTCCACATTTTCACAGCTCTTACTGTGAAGAAACCTTTCCGTGTTTGGAGATTAAATTTATTTTCCTACAGACGTAAAGAGCACCCCCTTGTCCTTTGTGATCTATTCCTGAAAGAATATTAAAACTGTCAGATACTGTAAGTAACAGCATTGGGGACTCTGTTTCCAAAATATGAGCTACAGTCCATTGGAACTACATAGGTGTCATCTTATAATCCCTGATTGGTCATTCTGAGTGACAGCTCACCATTTATTCCGCTGCTTCCATAAGGCCTCATTCACACCTGAACACTTGTTCCCAATCGCATTTTATTTTTGCATTTTTCATTTGTTAATGCAGCCCATTCACTTGAATGGACTGCCCTACATGTGACAAATGCCTCAAAGTAGCACCAGAACCTTTTCCTTTGAGGAGCATCTGCTTTTTTTAGTGCAAGTTTTGGCACATTTGTAGCGCATTTTATCGTACAATAAACGTGCTGCTAACCACGCACTTGCTTGGGGTGTCATCAGCCATTAAAGGCGCTTCAAGAACAACCCACAAATTGCAGTGTATCTCCGAACCACACAGTGAAACGCACAATTTTGTGTGTTTTGTCGCACGTTTAGGAAATGCGCAGGTGTGAATGCAGCCTAAAGTCCCACTCTGGGAGAAACCTGCAGAGCGTTTCTAGTATTGTAACAATTTTTTTTTTTCTCCGTGTGAAATGAGCACAATTTACAAATGTACATTGGTCATTTACATATACCAATCTACAACATGTGACCTTGGGAAATAATCCATGGTAGAGGCTTCTCAAGTCATTTAAATGTGCCCTCAGCAGGTCTAAAAAATATGCGTGGTGATTCATTGAAACAAAAAAGGAGACAGAAAACGTGCAGCTGTAATTGTCAATTACACATAATGAGAACAGAGAAATTAAAAAAAAAAGAGCAAAAAAAAAAGAATTTGCAATTTTCAAGAAAAGGCAGAACATGCCCAAACTGTAAACAACTAATAAAAAGAAAAAAGAAAAAAAAGAAAAAAAAAAAAATCTTGAGTTATTGTTTTAAGCCAAATAGGTATGTAGTTTAATTTTATATATGGGGACTGTGCTACCTGGCAAAGGATTTGTATTGTCACTCAGGCCAGATATGGGGGGTGCTGACGTGGGCTGCACCCCCCCCCCCCCCAAGATTTTAGTTGTGGTCACCCTCCGCCAAATGAGACCAACTCTAGGGTCCAATCTGAAACTGTTGGTAATACACACATTTGATACGTGGTGTGGCAGGCTTTTAATGGTTAACACAGGTGGTGACGAGGCATTAAATTGCCCCTAAACCACCTGCAACCACCCAGAGGAGCTGTGATGATGGCCAGACAACGAAATGAGCCCACACTCACTTGGTCTGAGCTCTGCTGTACAGGAGATTACTGGTGACTAATATTCTTCCTTCCTTCTTTCTCTGTCCTTTCTTTCTTCTTCCTTATTTCTGCTGCTTTCTTCTTCTTCTTCCTTCTTCATTCTTCTTCTTTCTTCTTCCTGCTTTCTCTGTCCATCTTTCTTCTTCCTTCTTCCTTTTTTCTGCTTTCTTCTTCTTTCTTTCTCTCTTCATTCTTCTTCTTCTTCCTTATTCATTCTTCATTCTTCTTCTTCTTATTCCTTCCTTCTTTCTGTTTCTTCTTCTTTTCCTTCTTCCTGTTTTCTTCTTTCTTTTCCTTCTTTCCTCTTCCTCTTCTTTTCTTCCTTCTTCCTATGTCCATATTTCTTCTTCTTTTCATTCTTCTTCCTTTTTTTTCTTCGTCTTCTTTTTTTCTTCCTTCTTCCTTCTTCTTCTTCTTTCTTCCTTCTTTTCTTCTTCTTTCTTCCTTTTTTTCCTTCTTCTTTTTCTTTTTTCTTCTTCTTTAGTGCCTTTTCTCCTTCTTTTTTCTTCCTTCTTCCTTCTTTCTTTGTCCGTCTTTCTTCTTCTTCTTCTTTCCTTTTCCTTGTTTGTCTGTTTTTTTTCTTCCTTCTTCTTTCTTCTTTTTTCTGCCTTCTTTTTCTTCCTTCGATTCCGTCTTCTCCTTCTTTCTTCATTCTTCTTCCTTCTTGATACTTTCTTCTTTCTACTTCCTTCTTTTTTTACTTCCTTCTTTTTTCTTCTGTCTTCCTTCTTTCTTGAGTTCACCTTTCTTGAATCTTTGTTATTGGTACAGTCACACCTGCCTGACTGGCAACTCCATATACAAAAATAATGTGACTAAAGCAGGGCCATAGATGGGACGAAAATCGCCCGACCATTTCTTCCTTCTTTTCTTCTTCTTTCTTCCTTTTTCCTTCTTTTTTTCTTCCTTTTTGTTTGTCCGTTTTTCTTCTTCCTTCTTATTTCTTCTTCCTTCTTCCTTCTTTTTTCTTCCATTTTCTTCGTTTCTTTTCTTCTTCCTTCTTCCTTCTTTTTTTCCATCTTTCTCCTTCCTTCTTTCTTAATTTTTCTTCTATTCAAATTCCCGATTTTTCTTTTTTTCTTCAGGATTTATATAGCGCCAACAGTTTCTGCAGCTCTTTACAATCTAAAAGGGAGACAGTACAGACACAACACATACAAATACAAGAAGGTTACTAGGCCCTGCTCATAGGAGCCTACAATCTAATAGATATTAAAAGAGATTCAGATGCTCACTCTAGTTGCATTTAAACCTGAATTGTTATTAAATATATAAATTATTTACAATATGTTTTATATCCGTCTGAAATTTAGTAATACTGAATGCTAAGATGAGCTCAGGTTAAAAGCTGGACATACATGTAAAATTTCCCTGTCTATGATAAACATCATGAATGTAGGAATCTACAGTGCTGGCTATTGTATTTTGAGAGCAGGTGAGGATACGTGCGGCTGTCAGAATACCCAACAGTGAGGACTGCATCTGAGTGAATGCAGGTGCTGTTCAGCGGAGAATTTTCTGCCCAGCTCTTTTAATTGACATTTTAATTGAGGTGTTTGAATAAAAAACATCCAACATGGAAAAAATTTCAATCAACTCAGCAGAAAACATCTTTGTTATTGGTCAGTCACACCTGCCGACTGGCAACTCCCATATATTTTCGTTTTTTAAAATAAAAATGTCTAACTCTGCAAAGAGTTTTTTTTAAAAAAACATAACGTTCACTAATAACATGTTTAGGTAGAATTGTGGCAATGATATTGAGATTAAAATATTTCCAAATTCTTATCAAGCAATATATATGCGCTAAAGTGAAGGCGCTAAATCTGCAGCCAAAATTTTAAAACCAGCCCCACTCCCTTCCATCCATTCACCAGTTAAAAAAAAGAAAAGAAAAAAAACAATGTTTTACTTGCTAGAGTCGGCTGTCACATGACTACTGTGGCACCTCTTTCGAGGGCATAGGCCTGCCGCCAATCGATCTGGTTTACGCCATGTATTCTAACATCATCACACCGCTGCTGCAATCTTCAGGACTCTGCGTAGGCAGGTGCTGGCTACATTTGCACTTGTCGAGAACGGCATTGAAGCTGGGGGAGAAAGTCAAGACAAACCGGGTTTCTCTATGATTCTCTTGGTGTACTGGGATAGCGTTCTGATTGGCTAAGTTGATTCCAGGTGACCCTGGTGACCATCTTGGGTCAAGCAGTCTTTTTAAGCCCCTCCACCCACAATGTGGTGCATATTTTGAAAGTGGCTAGTATAGGGACAGGACACCAATCTGTCAGGGACAACACTAGCAGGACGGAAAGTTTCCAGAGGAGGGGGGAAAGCTTAGGGCCTTTGTCTGCAGCTCAGCAAGCTCCCTTTGGGTTGTCTAGGCAGGCTGCACTCTACTTTCCTTGGCAGGTGCTGTCTGTGGCTCTTGCCTGCTCACTGCTGACTCTCTGCTCTAACTATTGTGAGTTCCTTAGTTGAGTTTGCCCCCGTCAGGCTGTTGTGCTGTTTTACAAGTTTTGCAATACATTGCTTTCTGTAATCTGGTGAGTTTTTCCTCTGCCATACCATGCTGTACCTAACCAACACATGAGTACCTTGAGAGAAACCACCAACACTGCAGTGAAGAATAAAAAAGCCTTTGGACTTGTTGTGTCATATGACCATAGCTTCAGGTACACTATGTTGTCAAAGGTATTGGGACACCCCTCCAAATCATTGGATTCAGGGATTCCAATCACCTCCATGGCCACAGGTATAAAATCAAGCACCTAGACAGGCAGGCTGCTTCTAAAAACATTTGTGAAAGAATGGGTCGCTCTCAAGAGCTCAGTGACTCCAAGCGTGGTCCCGTGATAGGTGGCCACCTGTGCAATAAGTCCATCTGTGACATTTCCTGGCTACTAAAATATTCCACGCTCAACTGTTAGTGGGATTATAACAAAGTGGAAGCAACTGGGAACAACAGCAATGTAAGGCTATGTAAACTGATAGAGCGGGGTCAGCGCATGCTGAAGAGCAGAGTGCGCAGAAGTCACCAACTGTCTGCAGAGTCAACAGCTAAAGACCTCCAAACTTCATGTGGCCTTCAGATAAGCTTCAAGGAATGCATTTTCCATGGCTGAGCAGCTGCATCACCAAGTGCAATGCAAAGCGTCAGATGCCGTAGTGTAAAGCATGCTGCCACTGGACTCTAGAGCAGTGGATACATGTTCTCTAAATTGACAAATCATGCTTCTCTGTCTAGAAATCCGATGGATGTGTTTGGGTTTGGCGGTTGCTAGGAGAACGGTACTTGCCAGACTGCATTGTGCCAAGTGTAAAGTTTGGTGGAGGGGGGATTATGATGTGGGGTTTCAGGGGTTGGGCTTGGCCCCCTAGTTCGAGTGAAGGGAACTCTTAAGGCGTCAGCATACCAAGAAATATTGGACAATTTCATGCTCCCAACTTTGTGGAAAGAGTTTGGGGATGGTCCCTTCCTGTTCCAACATGACTGCGCACCAGTGCACAAAGCAAGGTCCATAAAGACATGGAGGAGCCAGTTTGGGGTGGAGGAACTTGACTGTCCTGCACAGAGTTCTGACCTCAACTGGAAGGAACACCTTTGGGATGAATTAAAGTGGAGACTGCAAGCCAGGCCTTCTCGTCCAACATCAGTGCCTGACCTCACAAATGTGCTTCTGAAAGAATGGTAAAAAATTCTCATAGACACCCTCCTAAACCTTGTGGACGGCCTTCCCAGAAGAGTAGAGGCTGTTATAGCTGCAAAGGGTGGGGCCAACTCAATATTGAACCCTACGGACTAAGACTGGCTATTAAAGTTCATGTGCATGTAAAGGCAAGTGTCCCAATACTTTTGTCAATATAGTCTTGGCATTTAATTTTTTTTTTATAATTAGGATTAGCATGAGGAGTAAACCAAGTGGAAATTAGTTTTGAAACAAGTCATCATTGACACCTGTAGCTACAGTGACATTGGAGCAATTAATCTTCAAAGTTCACAATAGAAGCGGTGAAGTCATTTAACTCCAGTCTCAGCACTCTGCATTCCCCCATTATTCTGCATCCACAGAGGAGATAGGAGATTAGAAGTGTGCAGGCTGCTAAGTCACTGCTGGGAGGGGAAGCAGTGGGTGGTGAGCTGCAGCTGAGGATGAACTACACCACAGTGCTAGCAGTGACAAAGAACAGTGAGGATTTGTACTGAAACACATTCACTGCTTGTTAAGAATATGGGAATACTTTAATATCTACATCCTGGCCACTGTCTTACATGAAACTGACTATATCCCACACACATATCTAGAAAGAAAAACTGGGAAATGACTGTAATGCCCGGTTTCAATTTTCTATAACATAATATGAATCAGTTAAAAGGTCATTCTATTCAGTTGTATTCAGACAGGGAAATATATGTCAGGCTTTGTATTAAATGATAAAGTTCCTCTCTTTATATTCTGCTCCCCCTGTCTTTCACCAAATGTAACCTAATTGCATTGTGCGAGTAAATCATATCAAATAACATTATAAATTTATATCAAGCAGTATTATAAATCATATCAAATAATGTGATAAGCACTGTGTACTGCGCTCCTTATTAAATTATCTTCACTTTTATACACCGCGATAATGACAAAAGCGCGGGGTGCTCAATAGATGATACCTCGCAGTGTCGGCAATTGCCCCCTGCGGGAAATCAGTGGCACAGCGTTTTCTCTGTGAAACTTTTGCACTTCCAGTTCTTTTAAAGCAGACCTTGCTATTCAAACCATATAATCCATATAATCCTTGTCTGTAATCCCCCTCCATCTTAGGCTTCATTTACACGGCATAAAAATGTTACTGATGTTATTACACGCGTGTTTTTCTAGGAGTTCCTGCGTAACGATCAGTAAAACACTTGCATTTAGATGCGTTTAAATACGCAAAGACATGTACTGATATATGATTTGTTTATATGATTTACTTTCCCCTCTGTTTAGACTTAATTCACATGTCTATCCATATGGAAGAAAAATATATTTTAAATATTTCTTAAAAATATTATTCCCCAAAAAAAAAAAATATAAAATAAATATATATATATACACATACACACACACACACACACACACATCATATATATATATATATATATATACAATATATATAAATATATATAATATATATATATATACATATACACATACACATACACACACACTTCATGCTGAAATGCGTTTTTATTACAAAATATATTGAAAATTATTTTTAAACATACATTTCAAATATACTGTATGACTTTAAAAATGCAAATGATAATTTACTTTCCCCTCTATTTAGACTTAATTCACATGCCTACCCATATGGAAAAAAAATATATTTGAAATATATCTTAAAAATATTATTCGCTATATATATATATTTTTTGGGAATAATATTTTAATATATTATATACATACATATATATATATATATACATACACACACACACACACACACACACACACATATATATATACATACATATACACACATATACACACACATACACATACATATACATACATACACACACACATACATACATATATATACACACACACACACTTCATGCTGAAATGCATTTTTATTACAAAATATATGAAAATCATAATTTTCTTCACACAACTAGAGCTTTCTTTTGGTGGTATTTAATCACTGCTGGGGTTTTTATTTTTTGCTAAATTAACAAAAAAAAAGACCAAAAATGTTGAAAGAAAAAAAGTTTCTTTGTTTCTGTTATATAAGTTTGCAAATTAATAATTGTTCTTCATAAATTTAGGCCGAGATGTATTCTGCTACATGTCTTTGGTGAAAATAACCCAAATTAGGATGTATATTTTAGTCTGTAGGAAAGTTATAGAGTTCACAAACTATGGTATAGATCTGAATATTGATCAATCCTGAAGTACTGACAGCCAATCTAATTTCTTGAGGTCCAAGAATGTCAGAACAGTACAGATATCCCCCAAATGTCAGGACAGTACAGATATCCCCCAAATGTCAGAACAGTACAGATATCCCCCAAATGTCAGAAACAGATATCCCCCAAACAGATATCAGAACAGGACCCCAAATGTCAGAACAGGACAGATATCCCCCAAATGACCCCTTTTTGCAGAGTAGACAGTCCGGCGTACTTCATAAGAGGCATGGCGAGTTTTTTGAAGTTGTATTTTTTTTGTCATAATTGTACAGAAAGTGAAAAAATTTAAAAAATTAGTTTCACTATTTTTTTTTTTTACATATTGTCACCAGTGCAGTACAGCGTCATCATACAACTGGCATGGCAGTGAACAGAGACACTGACTGGTGACAGTATGAAAAAAATTTTTTTTTTTTTAAATTTATTTTATTATTTTTTATTACATTTTTTTAAAGATTTTTTTTCATATTTCACTATGACCAAAGTAGTACACTGTTACCATAGTAACAGTGTACTACTTTGGGGGAAGTGATCAGAATTTTTTTTTTTTTTTTTTTACACAATTTGCTTATAGCAAAGAATTACTTTGCTATAAGCAAGCATTTACCTGAATGACATCGATTCATTCAGGGTTTTTTTTTTTGTGCTTAGCTGTGATTTGGCCACAGCTAATCACATGACATGTGCATGTGACCTGCTGTGACCATTCACAGCTAGACACTAGTATACAATGGATGGCATGAAAGGAAGCCCTCCATTGTATACAACTGTCATGTGACCTGCTGTGATTGGTTACAGCAGGTCACATGGTACCAGCAACGGGGGCCAGTACTCAGATCTCTAATCGGCCGTGTCCGAGGTACACGGCCGGTGACAGATCGCGCCGCTGCGCCACTCTGCTGGAGCGCAATCTGCGCATGTGCGGGAGGACGCCATATGGCATCCACCCGGAATGCTGATGACATTTGCCGCTCGCCATTCGGCTATAGGACAGGCGGCAAATAGTTAAAAATGCAAATCTACATTTTTGGAATGCATTTACAAAACATATGTAAACATATATGTTAAAATGACTTTTCTCTATGTTTATATGTTAAAAACATCTGAAGAATATATTTTTTAAAAATATGTTTGTAAAAATATATATTTTTTTTAAATATGTTCTTCAGAGTTTTTTAACATATAAAAAAGTAATTTTAACATATATTTGTAAATGCATTCCAAAAAATGTAGATTTGTATTTTTAAAGACATACAGTATATTTGAAATATATTTAAAAAAATATTTTTCATATATTTTGTAATAAAAACACATTTCAACATGCAGTATATATGTGTGTGTGTATGTATGTATGTATTTTTTAAATATATTTCAAATATATTTTTCTTCCATGTGGGTACGAACACGTATACATGTGTTTATACACAACAGCACATAAATCACAGATGTTACAGATCTGAAAGCAGCTCACGTTTCTGCACCTGTGTGAATGACTCCATTGAAAACAATGCAGCTGCGTTCAGATCCATAATTAACCCCTTAAAGCCATGCCTCCTTTAAGAGGTTTCTGATGCCGGGAGGCGGGGTGGGATTTATGGTCATGTGACTACTGTGATCGGCTGTCACATTGATCACATGATCAGAAAGATCAGATCAAAGGCTCTCGGCGCAAGTTCATTTATATTTGGGTATGCAAATATGCGGACTCTCGGCGTCAAGGCCCATCCGCCACATATTTGTGTACTCTCGGAGCAAAGGGGTTACAGAACACTTGTCTATCCGCTTTTTTTTTTTTTTTTAATGGCCATGTGAAAAAAGCCTAATGCTTACTAAAAGCGGAGTTCCACCTGAAAAAAAAAAATAAAAGTCAGCAGCTACAAAAACTGTAGCTGCTGACTTTTAAAATACAGTCCCTCGGTCAAGCGGTGTCCTCACCATGGTTGGTTTCACCGGCTGTCTTCTCTCCCCGACGCCAATATCTTCAGTGTGGACCAGGGGCGGACTGACAACTCATGGGGCCCCCGGGCAATAGGGGAGCATGGGATAAAAGTAAAGCGAGCGCTCAAAAAATCAGCTGCTGGAACACTCCAAGGAATCACTGGACCTCATAACAAGAATAATATATATATAGCGCAGTGCTGTAATGCTAATAGGAATATATATCTAATTATGCCTTCTCTACTTTCACAGGTAAATGCTCCTTTCTCCTACCTCCACTCTTAACTCCAAAACGCATTGACTCCTGCTGCCTTCCTCCTGGGTAAATGCTCCTTTCTCCTACCTCCACTCTTAACTCCAAAACGCATTGACTCCTGCTGCCTTCCTCCTCCTGCTGCCTTCCTCCTGGGTAAATGCTCCTTTCTCCTACCTCCACTC